AATCAAACCGGGCTGTGGGCCATGCCTCCAGGGGCCTTGAGATGCCAACACAGAGGGGGGGGGGAAATGACTCCCCACGTCCCCGGCTCAAACCCAGTACAAAAGTGAGTATTTACAATGAAAGGGTGGGGAGTGGGCACAGAAAGGAGAGGGGCCAGAGGGAGCACTCCAGGGGCAGGAGGCTGAGCCCCTGGCCCCTCCTCTGAAAGGTCCAAAGCCAAACAGCAGATTTCTAATGGGTCTCTATCCCGGGGAAGGGACAAGAGGCCCTAGAGGTGAGGGAGGCGATGGGGCATGGGATGGGGTGCAGGTGGGGAGGCATGGGCGGAGGGAGGAGATGGAGGAGAGGCAGCTTTGGCCCCTCGCCTCCCCCCTGCCCCCCGCCGGACACACAGTTTTCCGTGGGATGGACACAGAAAGGGTTAATTAAAAAGAGTTCGATGAGCGAGTCTGACGTCGAGTGGGGCTGGGGCAATGAGGCCGCAGTTCCTGATGGCCAGTGGTGATGGAGTCACTTGGAAGATGAAAGGTTGGTGGTTTTGGGGGGTGGGGGGAAGGGGTGGAGAAGGGGGGAGGGAAGGGGGTTAGACGGTCCCCCCAGTCGTCTCTGGGAGACTCGCGTGTCCTTGACTGGCAGAGAAGGGGTTAAAAACCAGCAGACTTCCCCACCTAGACTCACCAGGTCTCCCTCTCAGACACAAGGAGTATCCCCCAAAGCCATGGGCCCTCCCCATCCATGGGCCCCCCAGAAGCCCTCTCCACTGTGGCAGCAAGACCACTGATGGCAGGGGCCTGGGTTGCCTTGACAGCTCTAGCGGGGGTCCAATTCCACCAGAGCCTAAGTTGGGGTCCACCAAACTCCAGCAGGAAGGCCAGTTTCAGGTGCAAGTGGGGCTGGGGAATAACCCCGTGGGCAGCCTGAATGCCCAAATTTCCATCTTCCCCATCACTCTGAGATCCTGTCCCCCACCCGCCCAACAGCTCTGTCCAATGCCCACCTGAAATTAACCCTTACCATCACCAAAGCATCCCAGCAACCCCTCCCACTTTCTAAACAGGAGGCCGCCCACCAGAAAGCAAGCCGGAAGTGAGAGATGGGGGTGATGGGTGGGGGGGATGTTAAGGGACTGGGGTACAAAGGGAAAGAAGAAATACCACCCAGAAGGAAGTGGTACCGTATTATTTTGAGTATACAGGTGCCCCAAGCAGCTCCAAGTCAACTCCTAGCAATTCCCTCTAAAATACTCATTCCCACCTCCAGCTGAGGCAAGCGGTGGGGCAGAACAAGATGGCACGTCCACCTCGACTTCCCTAATAGTTATTGCAGTGAGGCTCCCCCCCCCACGCCCCAGTCCATGCACAGATAGCTGGGGCTGATAAAAGAAGGTAGCTGGGAGAGGTTGGCTCAGAGCCCCCTCTGAGACGAGGGATGAGAAAGGTGAATTTGGCACATTGAACCCCGTCTCATAAGTGCTTTGGGGCTCTTGTCTGGAATGCAGCTGGCACCATCCCTCACTAGCAGAGGAGGGGTTGAGTTTGTTTCCATTCCCCCACCCCATTTTTAAAATAGATTTCTCCAAAGGAAGTGACTGGGGTTCTCCCCGGCTGGTGGAATTTGGGGGATCCAAAAGGTTAGGGATTAGCTGAAGGAAAGGTTTTTTTTTCTGTCTTTTTTTTTTCTTAAAAAGATTCTAAGAAAAACTTGGGGCAAGAGGAATTGAGGAAGGGCACCCAAATGAGCTAAGTGTCCACAGACCTTTGCAATGCCTCTTAGGGGTCTCCTCAGAGGGAGGGGGTCCTGGTTTCCTGGTTCCCCTCTTTTCTCTGAGGTTCCCTCCCCCCAGAGCGGCTCAGTTCCAAGGAAGTTTGGCACTTTTTTTTTAATAGGTGGGGAAATGGAATTGGGGGGTAAAGTTGAGAAGGGGGTAGACACAGACGGAGACGGGACAAATAACAAAGGGGGTCATGGGGGCAGGGCAGGAGAAGAGAAGGGGGTGACTTTTGGGAGGCAGAGAGAAAGAGAGGGGGGCTGTTGGGAGCTGGAGGGCGGATGGGAGGGGAATAAATGGGAGACAATGCAGCAAACACTGATTAAGCACCGGCTGGGTGCTGAGAGCAGGCTGGGAGGAGGCCATTCAGTCTCTGCGATCTGATTGGCTGATGGAGCTTGAGGAGGGGGACGAAAAGAGGTGATGGTTTCTTTTTCCATGATCCCCCATCCCTGACTCCACACCTGCGTCCCTTCTGGACAAACCGCAGCACAAAACATTGAGGTCCGATTGCAGAAGGGATGGGCAAGGGAGAGTGAGTTGGGGGAAATGTGTGTGGCTCAGCACCCACTGACATGGTGGGCGAACTGGCTCGCTGAGCTAGCAAACTACTTCTCAGCTAGCCCTGGCTGGTGGGGTTGGGTCCCCTGAAATATGGACAGGGAGGGTATGACACACAGATTCCCCAAGGGAACACCTTCCAGGAGGCCCAGCCTCCAGAGACGCATCTGTGTGAGAGTACTGGAACCCGCTGAATGGGACCCAGACTCAAGATGAGGGGTACCCCACCCAGCAAAACATCTGCCAAGCCCAGGGCAGGGAGGATGTAAATGAGATGCAAATGAGCTCCATCCAGTCCCCCACCTCCTGTGGCCCAGACCTTACTAGTCCTCTCCCTGGCTTCTTCCCCTTTTTTGGGGGGCTTGGGCGGGGGGGAGGGGTAATAGGGGGAGTCTACTCCAGCTAGATACTTCAACACCCACGTGTGGGTGGAGAGAGTGTGAAATACTGTCCGGTCCGTTTGAGAGGTGCATGGAAACGCTGCCCAGGGGGCCACGTCCCCACCTGCAGAAGATAAGTCCAAAGTGAAAAACTGATTTGGCACTCAGATCTCCATCTAGGTTCAGCCTGGAGATCGATTGGGGCAGGGCAGCAGCGACGGGAGGGGGAGGCAGGGGCCTGTGTCCCCAACCCTGGAGGTGCGAAGGGCATGGGAAAAAAATCACCATTGTGCCCCAGCTCCAGGCCCCCGGGGGGAGGGCAAGCAGGTGGGAAATTCAGTGCACGGTACCTTGAAGGCTATTGCTTTCTAGGGATTTCACATTTTCATTTGGGGGTGGCTCTCTAGCAAAGGGCAGGGGTCCCCCAGGCTTTAGGGATGGGATTTGTCTCTGGCTTTCCTTCCCTCCGTTTTTTTGGGGGGGAAGAAACGAGGAGGCTGGATTCACCCAAAGCCAGGGAGAAGAGAAGGGTCTGGAAGACCGAGGAGAGGGACAAATGGGGGAGAGGTGGGCATGGGGTGCCCCTCCCCCTGAGATGCTGATGATGGACAATCAGGACACGGGGTGTGGGATGTGCCCTGCTTTGAGTTGGAGAAAGTAAAGGTGGTCTCTTGGGGGAGGGGAGCTGGGTGGGGATCGAGGTGGGTTTCAGCTATCCTAAAAATCACCTCAGTAGAGCTGACCACGGCCACAGTGGTCCGGGAGCCACCCCAAACCATCTATTGGGGCTGCCTGGCTTCACAGGCTCTTAGCAGAACATTCTAGATCCTCAGAGCCGATGGTGAAAGCACCAAAACATTCTGATCCAGCAGACGCCATTCTGGGACTCCAGCTCGCCAGAAGCCACCAAACCAATCTCACCCTTGAGACCACAGGGAGTGCCATGGCCACGGAGAACCTGACCGCGGCTCCCTGAACCCCAACACCGGCCTGCACTGGCCTGACCAGACTCAAGGAGACAAAGCCACGCAGACACAAGCATGCACACGAAAGGCGGGGTGGGGGGGAGGGCTGCATTACAGTAGTCTTCGCTAGTTTCACCTTCACCCTCCCTGACCAGGGAGATCAGACTCCGTGGGCTCTATCCACAATCTAGGGTCTCTCTCCTTATTCTCTTCCGGGGAAGACCCTCCACCCACCCAATCGGTGGGGTGTGGGTGGAGGAGGAGCGACCCAATACAGGAAGTGCCTGCTGCGTTCCAATGACGTCACCGGAAGTGACCTGAACACCACCGGAAGTCTGTCTCCAGGAGATCGCGGAAGTGACTTTCAGGGAAGGCTCTTGGAGGCCTCATAGGAAGTACCTGTCTCTCCTGGCGGCCCAGGAGGTCACCCTGGGAAACTACTTCCTGTGACGTCAGAAGTGCCGGAGGCACCCCAGAAAAAGGACCCGACTTAGGGCCACCCCCGTGGGGACAGACACTGGGTTCCTATTTCTCTAGGAAAAGGACCCCCGGGGATGCCACAGGAAGTTGTTCCAGCTTCACAAGAGTCTTGTCCCCGGGAATGGCCTGATCCCAAAGCCACCAGCCTGGAGCCCAGAGGCACCCCGCTCCCCGCATCCCCCCTCCCACGACAGCCTGACAGGAAGAGTGAAGGCGCCCCCCTAAGAGGGGTACCTGCAGCGATGGGGGCAGGAGAGGAGCTGAGAAACACCGGGAACCCTGGGGCCCTGCTCCAAACGCCCCAGCTCAGCCCACTCTCCTCTGCTACCTCCAAGCGGGGGAGATGGGTGCCCTGGGGAAAGCCACCCCTTCTAGATGACCCAGAGGCTCCCTCCCCTCCTCCCATGTGGAAACAAAAACTTAGAAAAGGGAAGGAGAAAAAAAAAAAACCAACAACAACCAAAAAACCAAAAACCAAAAAACGAAAAAAACCCCAAAAAAGCCTTCCTGGAAAAAAAAAAAAGGAGGGAAAGAAAGAGAAAATAACGCTTTGTTTTCTATTAAAATCAACAAAATGCAATATATACAAATATCACACAGACCTGGGCCCCTGGGGGGGAACTGGCCCAGTCAAGCGAGGGAGGGAGGGAGGAGGGGCAGTTCCGGGCTGGAAGGGGGTCCCTCCCGGCCCCCTCCCCAGCCAGCACTCAATCCTGCCTATGGCTACCAGAAGTGGGGGTGCAGTCAGGCCTACCCCAGCCCTGTCCCAAGAGGCGCAGGAAGAGCCGAGCCGAGGCCAGGATGGGGGGCGGCGGGGGTGGAGAGGGGAGGACGCGGGAGCGGGCGGGGAGCGGGGCGCGCGCGCCGGGGCCTCATCCCACTTTCTGGGGGTTTGAGGCCCGCACTCCCTGCTCGTAGGTGACCCGCTGGCTGATGAGGTATTGAGCGGCTTGCGTGGCCGCGGGGCTGCCGGTGATGGTGACCCGCCGGTTCCGGGTGCCGGGCAGGAACTCGCCCTTCTTGGAGATCTGGATGCGCGCGCCCGTCAGCTCCTGGTACTCCACCAACGTCTTGCCCCCCTTGCCCAGGATGGCTCCCACCAGGTTCTCAGGCACCGCGATCTCCACCAGCTCCTTGGCGCTCTCGGCCGCCAGCTTCTCGGCCGTCAGGAAGCCGCCCGCGGCGCCCGCCGCCGCCGCCGCGGCCACCAGCGGGCCCCCCGCGCCGCCCGCGCCGCCGCCCGCCCCGGCGCCCAGGTAGCCGTTGGCCGCGGCGGCCAGCGCGAAGGAGCCCAGCGCCCCGGGGGGCGGCGGCGGCGGCGGCGCGGCGCCCCCCGCCGGCCCGGCCCCGGCCTCGCCCGCGTAGGACGCCAGCAGGTTGGCGGCGGCGGCGGCCGCGGGGTTGGCGCCGGCGGCCACGGCGGCCAGGACGCCCGACGCGGCGGCCGAGTTGAGGCCCAGGCCCAGGGAGTTGGTGTTGTAGCCGTAGCTGGCCAGCGTGTTGAGCGCCGTGCTGATGGCCAGCAGGTCGGTGCCCGAGAAGGCGGGCAGCGCGGCGGGGAAGGCGCCCACGCCGGCCAGGCCCGCGGGGCCCAGCAGGCCCGAGGCGGCGGCGGCAGAGGCGGCGGCGGCCGCGGGCAGCACGTCGGCGGGGCTGGCGTAGGGCGAGCCGGTGGGGTTGGAGTTGGCCACGGGGCCCGCCACGTTGGCGTAGCTGATGTTGAGGCAGCTGCTGCTCTGCGGGTCTTCCTGCACCTTCTGCACGATGGCGCTCACGGCCTTGTGCACCTGCTCGGGCTCCCCGCTCACCGTCACCACGCGCTCCTGCAGGTTGATGCCCTCGGGTTTCTGCGACAGCTGCACCCAGGCCCCCGACTGTTCCATCACGGCTTTCACCGTGGCGCCCCCTTTGCCGATGATCAGGCCCGCCGTGCTGTTGGGGACGATCAGCTTGGCCTGTGGGGTGGGGAGCGAGAGGAGGGGTTTTAGGGGCGGGCCGTGGTGAGCGTCCGTTCGAGGGGAGGCGTCTCCGGAACTTTTTATCTGTTTCCCGGGTGTGGAGTGCCCCCAGTCTGAGCCTCCCGGAAATCCCCGGTGGGTCCTGCTAGTGGGGGGAAAAAGAGCCAATAGCAGGGCAGCTGAGGGGCTGGAGCAATAGCAAAGCGGGTAGGGCGTTTGCCTTGCACGCCTGGGTTTGATTCCCAGCATCCCGTATGGTCCCCTGGGCACCGCCAGGACTAATTCCTGAGTGCAGAGCCAGGAGTAACCCCTGTGCATTGCCGGGTGTGACCCAAAAAGTAAATAAATAAATAAATAAATAAATATAGTAGGGCAGCTGAGCAGGAGCAAGTGCCAGGGCGCTGGCCTGCAGGGTTGAGGCCCTGGGGTTTGAGCCTCATACCACAAAGCCATAACGCGCTGTGATTAACACTTTGAATATCACGGTGATTGGGGCAGGAAAGATAGTGCAGCAGGAGGCATTTGCCTTGCACACGGCCGGCTGGGGTTCAATCCCTGGCATCCATATGGTTCCCACAGCACTGCCAGGGTCCTAAGTGCAGAACCTGGAGTAAGATCTGAGCATTGCTAGGTGTGGCTCAAAACCACTCCCCTATCAAAGGAGAGAGAGAGAGAGAGAGAGAGAGAGAGAGAGAGAGAGAGAGAGAGAGAGAGAGAGAGAGAAGAAAATTTTGTTGACTAAAATAAAAATGAAAAATACTTGGGGCTGGAGCGGTAGTACAGCAGGAAGGAGCTTGCCTTGAACACAGTCTACCCAGGTTCAATCCCTGGCATCCCATATGGTCCTCTAACACCACTAGGAGTAATTCCTAAGTGCAGAGTCAGGAATGACCCCAGACCATTGCTGGATGTGACTAAAAAAAAAAAATGGAGGTTAGGGGGCAGGGAGATAGTATAGAGGGTAAGGTGCTTACCTGGCATATAGCTGACCTGGGTGTGATCCTGGGCACCCATATGGTCCCCCGTGCTTACCGGGAGTGATTCCTGAGCATAGAGCAAGGAGTAATGTCTGAACACTACTGGGTGTGGGGTCATCCACAAAAACAACAACAGCAACAACAACAAAAAAAAAGGTAGTATAGCTGACCTGGATTCGATCCCTGGCACCCCATAGGGTCCCCTGAGCATGGCCAGGAGTGATTCCTGAGTGCAGAGTCAGGAGTAAGCACTGAGCATAGCTGGATATGGCCCAAAAACCTACAAAAATTCTATAAATATACATATACATGTATTTTTAGGGGCTAGAGTGCTCAGCAGCCAGGGCCTATACCTTGCATTCACAAGGACCCAAATTCAATCCCAAACACCACATGGTCCCCCAGAAACCCTAGCTACAGCCCTGAGGGCCCCTGGGGACTACAAGGCCATGAAACATGGCATCTTTGAACCCTAGCATCAAACTGTTTGGCTGAGAGTCCCCCAAAAAGAATAAAAATATGTATTACAGGTTTGGAGAGATAGTATAGAAGATGAAGTCTTGGCCTTGCAGGCAGCTGACCCTGGTTCTATCCCTGGGATGGAGTATGGGCCCCCAAGCACCACTGTGAGCGACCACACAGACGTCCCACTCCAGCACAGAGCTAGAAATCTCATCTGAGCATCAATGAACATGAACACCAAGGTCCCCACTCCAATATATATATAAATAAATCCGCCCATGTTGTTGGTCTAAGGGCTGGGACCCCAAGTTCCTACAAGGGTCCTCCAGCCCCCCTTTTCTGCTTCTAGGACCTTTGGGAGCTCCCTGACAGGTGGAACTCAATTCTCAGAGTTAATGGCAGACTCGGGGTGGGTGGGGGTGATGGCCTCCAGATCCATGGTCCAAACAGCATCGGGGCTCATATCATCTACATGGAACCCCCTTCACTTAATCACTTAACTTCCCGTTAGTCGTCGATTTGCTCGAGTGGGCGCCAGTAATGTCTCCATTTGTCCCTGTCGCGTGCTAGTGTAGCCCAATGGCATCTCTTCGCTCCGGGAACATGGAGGGCCTCAAACCGATCGTTCATGATCTTGACAAAGAAGTCTGACCATCTGGTAGGTGGGCGGCCACGCGGTCTCTTGACATCCCGTGGAATCCAATCAGTAACAGCTCTAGTCCAACGGTTGTCTTTAAATCTCATTACGTGACCAGCCCATCTGATTTTCGACACCTTGGCATATGAGACAGCGTCCCTGATCCTTGATCGTCGACGGATGTCAGAACTCCGGATTCGTTCTCTCATTTGAGTGAAACGTGTTACTCCAAGCATAGCTCTTTCTATTCTTCTTTGGGAGACCTGAATGGCGTTCTCATCTTGTTTGCGTAGGGCCCAGGTCTCTGAGGCATATGTTAATGCAGGAAGAACAGTGGAATCAAAGAGATGTGCCCGGAGCCGGAGGTTCTTCGTCCTCTTAGCTATTTCTTCGACGTTCTTGAAGGCGTTCCAAGCCGCTCTCTTCCTCCTGCGCAGCTCGGGTGCCAGGTCATTTCTCATGTTGACCTCTCGACCTAGGTACACATAGCTGTTGCATTCGGAGATGGTCGTTCCATTGAGAGCGAATGGGGCGTCAGGAACAAGGCTGTTTCTCATAAACATTGTCTTCGTAAGATTCAGCTGTAGTCCTACCTTTCCACACTCACGGTCAAAGTCGGCCAGCATTTGTGCCGCTTGGCTGATGTTTGGTGTTATTAAAACAATGTCATCAGCAAAGCGGAGGTGGTGTAGTTGCCGACCATCTATCTTCACTCCCATTCCTTCCCATTCCAGTCGTCGCATGATGTTCTCGAGGGTGGCACTGAAGAGTTTCGGTGAAATGGTATCACCCTGCCGCACCCCTCTCTTGACATCAACGATCACTTCTTTGTAGAATGGTGAGATCCTGGTAGTGAATCCGCAATACAGCTCACGGAGGATCCTGATGTATTGGGCTTGAAAGCCTTGATTGGCTAGGGCTTCAATGACCGCTTCCGTCTCAACAGAATCAAAGGCCTTCTTTAAATCAATGAACGTTAAGCAGAGCGGCATCTTGAACTCCCGAGAAACCTCAATGAGCTTGGTTACCGTGTGGATATGGTCGATGGTGCTGAATCCTTTGCAGAACCCTGCTTGCTCGCATGGTTGTTCTTCATCTAGTGTTCTGCCAATCCTATTCAGGATGACTCGAGTGAACAGCTTGTAGATGACAGACAATAGGCAGATCGGGCGATAGTTGCCAATGTCATGGATGTCTCCCTTCTTGAACAGTAGTACGGTCCTGCTGGTTTTCCATTGGGACGGAACCTTGCATTCAGACAGGTAGCGAGTGAAGAGCCGAGCCAGTGTATTGATGAGTACTGACGGCAGGTTCTTCAGGTGTTCAGGTCTGACCTTGTCTGGGCCGGGTGCTGTTTGCTTCTTTACCAACGAACCCCCAGGCCTGCATAATGCACCATGAATCTCTCTTTTCTTTCTTTTTTTGTTTCCTTTTGGCTTTTTGGATCACACCTGGTGATGCTCAGGGGCTACTCCTGGCTCTGCACTCAAGACTCACTATTGGCGGTATTCAGGAGACCATATGGGATGCCGGGGATCGAACCCCCAGTTGGCCATGTGTAAAGCAAATGCCCCCCTGCTATACTATCCGCTCTGGCCCAGGGTCTCATTTTTCTTTTTCTCTTTTGGCTCTTGAGGTTATACCTGGCGATGCTCAGGGGTTACTCCTGGCTCTTCACTCAGGGATCACTCCTGGTGGTGCTTGGGGGACCATATGGGATACCAGGGATCAAATCTGGGTTGGTTATGTGCAAGGCAAATGCCATTTCCCCTGTACTATCATTCTAGTCCTGAGTTTCGCTTTTCAAAGGCACTGTGAGGTAGGGGTGGGAGTCGGGTCTGGGAGAGAAAAGGACTTGTTGAGGGTCCCCTGGGGAGGGAAATGGTGTCCAGCTCATGAATCCCTGGTGCTCTGTGCTCTGGCCCAATCCTGGTCCTCCCTGAGATAGGGTCATGCATCACCTCTCTGCTGTCGCTTTAGATGGAACTATTTCCTGCTCCCTCCAGGGAAATTTAAACCCCAGAGCCCCAGATTACGGCTATATTTCGAGACTGAGTCTTCACTGGTATGGGGGCCACACCCAGCAGTGCTCAGGACTGACTCCTGGCTCTGCACTCAGGGATCATTCCCGGTAGGACTCGGGGGACCATACGTGGTGCCAGGGATTGAACCTGAGTTGACTGCATGTGAGGCAAGTACTCTACCCACTAATTTCTCTGGCCCTAGAGACCTAGTCTTTAAAGATCCCACTAAGGTTAAGCAAAGTGGGGCCAGAAAAACAGTACAGCAGGTAAGGTGTTTGCCTTGCATGTGAAGGACTCTAGTTTGATTCCCAACACTATATATGGTCCCCTGAGCACCAACAGTGGTCACTTTTTTTTTCTTTTTGGGTCACACTCGGCGATGCCCAGGAGTTAGTCCTGGCTTTGACTCAGGAATTACTCCTGGCAGTGCTCGGGAGTATGGGATGCTGGGAATCGAATCCAGGTCGGCCTCGTGCTAGGCAAATGCCCTACCCTCTGTGCTATCGCTCCAGGCCCAACAGTGGTCGCGCCTAAGCAGAGTCAGGAGTAAGTCCTGAGTCCCTCCGGATGTGCTCCCAACCAACCCTCCCACCGGAAAAAAAAAAAACGGTTAAGTTCATTAAGAGGGGCATCCAAATCCAAGAAAATCAGTTTCTGTATAAGAAGAGATGAGGGATAGGGGAGGTGCCCCCAGTGACAGAGCTTTTGTATGCCTTGTGAGAGTCCTTGACTTTGATCCCTGGCACTGCATGGCCCCTCACAACTCTGGGTATAAACCTTCCCACCCCCTGAACTCCTGGGGCCTTGGGTTCTCTCGTGATTCAAAGCCCCATACAAAACAAAAGTGATCGCGGCATGCAAAGGATGAACTGTAGAAGACAGATATTCACTGCAGGT